CAGACTCTTCTTAACAGAGTCTGCTTTTTATTCAAGCCATTAGTGGTTGTGATACGGCTTTTTATTTCTATAAGGCAAATGGCAGCTCTTAAGATGTTAGTTTTCAGTAATACGAATGCGGATCTAGATGAACTGAACGTCAGTTATAAATTTGTCTCCTTTATGTACTGAATAGATGGCCGAGACATTAATGAAGAATGATATAGATTCTAAAATATTGGTATAGCTACATGTTTCATCCAAACTGGTAAAAAATTATTATAGGTTTTTTGTCAGTTCCACTCTATTACATATTTAATCGTATAATACAAGAAGAGGCCTATCCAGACATTTGGAAAATATCTAGAATCTGTCCCGTTTTCAAATCTGGTAAAGTTTTTGATATATCAAATTACAAACCAATCGCATTAATCACAGTTTTTTCCAAAATTTTTGAAATTATATTTTCTAATATATTATATTCCCATGTAAAAAATTCAATCACGGAATACCAACATGGTTTTGTGAAGCTCAGAAGTACCGCGTCAAATCTGTATACATTATGAAGACTAGAGATAAGGAGGCGAATCGGCCTTGGTCAAATTTCAAATTTCTGTCCCTATTTTTATGAAGTTCCAAAAAACTACTGTAGTTGGCGGGTGGCAAAATAACGACGTCTATTTTCTATGCAAGTCAATGGGAATTAAAGTGATTTTTGTAAAATTTAGTGAAAAGAATAAAAATAAGCTGAAATAAAGAACCTGACTACAAGTAACAATGAGTAACAAAAAACGACAAAGCAGGATTTTCTTCGGGTCGGGTTGCAAAACGGGATATAAATCCGATATAAAATTAAAGAAATCACAAGGAGATAAAAATCCAAGTCTTTTTAAAGCTCCTAGTGTAAGTAAAATAAAGTATTTATTTCTAAATAATATATATTTATTGTAAAATAGTCACAACCCGTATCTTACGGAGTGTAGTTTATTTAATTACAAAATTCTATAATAATAAATAATAAAGTCATAAATCCTGACTCACAAACAATAATTACACATTAAATTTAACTTACTAGAAAAGAAAATTTGCTTTTTTTTATGTTTTTTGATGTTAGATGAAGAGTTACTACTGTTATTTTTCTTTATTGAACTCCAATTTAGTCATTGCAAATATTTTTTATAGGATCCTAAACGTTTAGAACAATGGCAGCATGTGATTCCTAGGGCTGATAAAGTACTGTCTAGTTATGATTCTGCTTGCGAGCTACACTTTTTAGAAGATGATATTTTAAAATTTGATGAGACTATTTTAACTAATGGTACTGTTAGCAAAATAAAAAGGGGACAGCTGAAATTAAAGGATGAGGTAATACCATGTACATTCCCAAATCTCCCTTTATACTTGTATTACAACAATAAAAAATCTGTTAACTGTGTTTTATTTTACTCTTAAAACTATATATTGGTTCAATTAAAAAAAAAATTGTACTTATCAAATTTCAGCAATTAAGAAACCTTTTCGAATTTGGTCATACATACCAAAATTGTATTTTATATAGATAAAATTAAATAATTTATCAATTAAAACATGCAAGACTTATTTAGAAATAAATACAACAGTATGTTCTGTGCTTTATTTAGCTGTAAACAAGTTTATTTTTATTATTTTGACAAAATTATGTATAATTCCCGTAAGAAGCCATGTATTTTGAACTACGTAAACCGTACCAGCGCCCATGCGGTTAATTATAAAAGCTCAATTGACGTGTGATTTTTGGGACCGTATTTTGAGCATGCCGATTCGCCTTCTTACCTTTAGTCTTCATAGTATACATTTACGCAATACATATCTAGTTCTTTAGACTGTAGAAATCAAGTTGACGTCGCATACACAGATTTTAGTAAAGCGTTTGATAAGGTGTCCCACAAACAATAAACTGAGACAATTTGGTGTTTCAAAGAGTATGCAATCATTGATAAAGTCTTTTTAACTGATCGACAGTTATATGTTGAATACGAGAGTGCCAAATCTTTGACGTGTCAACGTCAGGGGATCCTTAGTGCTCGAATTTGGGCTCATTATTATTTGTTATTTTAATTAACGACATCTGTTATTGTATCAACTCTAAGAAACTTTTGTTTGCAGACGATATGAAAATTTATAGGGAAATAAAGGATACCTCAGATTGCATTGCTCTTCAAAACGACCTTGTCAACTTACATAACTGGTGTATCGTAAATAAACTATCTTTGAATACTAACAAATGCAAAGTCCTGTCCTTTTTCAGGAAAGTAAACACTGTCTTATATGATTATCAATTAGATAATCTTATTCCCCGGATATATAATTACAGAGAATTAGGTATCTTATTTGACAGCAAACTGACTTTTTCGGAACACATTGAAAACACTGTACAAAGTGCAACAAAAATCTTGGGTTTTGTTATTAGAAACTGTAAAAAGTTTAAATCTTTAGAAGCCATCTTCTCTGTTTATTTTTCACTAGTTCATAGCAAACTGGAGTATTGCAGTTGTGTTTGAAATATAACATTTCATATTCAAGTGCCAAATTCACATCACTTTCACAGTCCTTTAACTACGATGTGTAGAAGTGTCAAGCAGTATTCTGTTAATATATTTTTTCTAAAATTTTACCAATTTAGAGAGCAATGTTACAGATTGGTATCAAATTAGGTTATTATAATGAAATTTAGTTAAGTAAGTATTCTCAAACTTTGTATTTTTAAATATATTATATACTCCTGTAATTGGGCTGATAAAGCCTGTTGGATGTATTAATTAATAAATAAATAAGCAAAAGCTCTACAAATCTTTTGATTTAGCCGTTCTTCTTTTAACTAAATATGAAACAACATTCTAATGGTGATTACATTGATGGAAAAGTAAAATATTTGTAGGATCTATCTTTAATTATAATATAATAAAAATACTGTCGTCATAAGCCAAACTAACAAATTACAAATATTTGAGATCATTTGATAATTCTGATACTAATGCTTTTTCTAGAAAAAAAAGTAAGCAAACACCCGGTAATATTAGTTCTGTATCCTAAAAAGTAAACTGCATTCTATACAGCAGCTAACATTTTTGTAAAGCATACTTAGCAAAACCTTTTAACCCACAAGCCAGAACAAAAATTATCAAAAATTTTTTTAACTAGTTAAAAGCATTATCCTAAAAATGTCTTTAATTCAACAAATACAGCTATGTTGGTACCACCGATCACAACGCTGGAACTATTAAATTTCTTTTGTTGCAAATATCTCCATTCCATAGTGAATTTTTACCCGAAAAACTGACTGAGCTTACCCGGGAAAGGGATGGCTATAAATATTTGCCGTGACGCTCCGGGGCGACTTAAAGACGATTGATGGTGCCATTTGATTTACAGGTGGGGAGACCTTGGAAAACCCCTCCTATCATCATCGAAACGGTAACAAAACATTGGTTCAGCAAAGCAGATGCTCATTCTTCTTTTAACTAAAGATGGACTGAAGCAACATATTCTAATGGTGATTACATTAATGGAAAATTAAAATCTTTTAAATATTTTGGGACCTATTTTTAATTATAATATAATAATACTCTCCTTTTAATTCACCTTCTTACGAGTGAATTTTAACCCCAAAAGCTGACTGAGCTTGTCCGGAAAGGGACGGCTATTATTATTTTCCATAGCATTTCAAGGCGTCTTAAAGATGATTGTTGGTGCTATTTGACTTACAGGTGTGGAAAACCATCATCGAAACGGTAACGCATGGATCGAACATTTTCTAGCCCCGGTAAATTTGGATGGAAGGTATCGGAAAATAATATGTTTACAATTTCCTGCACCAGAAGTATTATTAGGTCTTATCTACTGTAAATATAGGAACGATTCAGTGGCGTAGCTAGGTTGATTGAAGCCGGGTGTCATCCAAAAGTCGAGCCCATTGAAGGCGAGGGGAAGAAAGGGGGGAAAGTCAAACCCAATAAGTAAAAAGTATAATTTTTAATTTCGAAAATGTCTTCGTAGAAGAAATACTCACAGGAATTGTTAAAAATAAAAAAGCAATAGGACAAATTTTAAAATAAATAAAATGTTAGGCGACATCTTTTACAGTGACACATTTAAGAATTTTTTGCTCTAAAAGTAGCTCTAAAGTTTAATATTTCGACTGCAAGATCGGATTGCGCACCGGGTAGCAGTTGGTGCCCCAGATCCCGGTAGCTACGCCACTGGAACAGTCGTCAAAAATGTGTATAATCACAAGGAGAACGCTGCAATCCCCTTTCTTCATTTCCATGGGATACATTGCAAATATGCTTACAGAATCTTTTGAATGAGTTTTTCTAGTAAGCAAAAATATTTAGTGAGACAATGGTATTAAAAAATTAAATTAAAAATAAAAAAAAATGTTTCCTTCTTCAGTTATTTTTTGTTGGGAAATTTATATTTTTTGTTATATCTAATTAAAAGATTTTTTTGAACTTAAAATTGCCTACCTACAAATTAAAAAATGCTAAAATTATCACAAGGGATGAGAAGATATTTCGTTTTTAAAAATTTTAACTGGCGGCCATGTTTTTTCAATATGGCGTTTTCAGTTCACAACGGATTTTTGGGATTTTTATATTTTTATTCCTGAACATAAAACCAATCGACTCCTGTTGAAAAAAAATCTATACAGTCATCTAAAATTACAAAGATATAAAAAAGAAAATTTCTTTTTGAATAAGAAAAATTGTAAATTTTCAGCGTGGGCTCTAAAAAGTTATAACCAAATTTGTATTGCGAGATTTTTGTCTAATGCACTCACAACTTACTAATGAAGACCAAAACCATTTCAAAAAGTGACTTAGTCACAGAACATGCCACACCAAAAATTAGAAAAATCGCTACTCTTTTTATATGAACATTTTTTTTTTAACTTTTAAGCCTCATGCCCGAAAATTGATGATATATGTAAGTTGAGTTAAATCATCTATAGTTAAGCTATATCTCAACTTTTTGAAGACACCCTGTAAAGTAACTTTCCCAAAATATCCATTTCTAAAACAAACGGGATTTTCAGTGTACCTACACTTACCTGTTATCATATGTCATTAGAAATTAACCTTTATTTACGATTCACCCTGTAGTTTTTTTTGTATACCTATTAGGTACCTTAATAACATGTATAAATAGCAAAAGTTCACAGTATTTTAACTTTATTCCATTTTTGAAGTTACATGTCTAATTATTGGAAATTAACTCTAAATAACAGAGTGCAACACACCCAACACGCTGCTAATAATAACCTCAAGTGTTTTAGCCAATGAAATCATTAAAAAAAAGGTAGTCTAGGTACTACTTAACTAGGTACATAGCCAATGTAATAGGTATTTAATATCAAATTTTATGTAAGAGCTTTATGGTGGCAAAAACAAAAGGTTCTTATATTCAATAGCATTTTTTGTAAAAAAGAAATTACCCATAAGCTCTTTAAAATAATAAGAGGTGCTAAATAATTAAAATTGTCCACAAATCTAGTGTCAAGACCACAAGTAGTGCTGAAATAGGTAGCATGTTGTTTCTAAATTAAGTTAAAAAAAATATATCAGAAATTTTTAAATCCTAGATGCCTATCCAAAACATTTTGTGTTCTTTAGTAAGTACCTACAACATGCACCTTTGTAGAATTATTGTAAAATAGGGCTAAATATTATTTAAAAGATTTGGTTTCACTGTGAGCACACATATCAATTCAATTAGGACATACTTATCATTCTATTATCACATCATTAATTGCTAAATCGGATTATTGTAATAAGAAACTAAAAATACATAATTCTAAGAACTAATCTTTTGGAAATTTGACAAAATTTAACAGCAAATATCTTTTTATAGATAAGAGGTACCTAAGTATAAGAACTAAATATATAGGTACCTACCTTGCATCCTAATTTACCTAAGAAAAGTTGATCAAATCCAAGGCGTGGCATTTTTAAAATGTTAGGTACTTATCTCACAAAAACAATTTTAAATCTACCTATGACTTGTTTCTCAGTGTATTTTCGTAACACCCTGTTTTTATATTAATATCAACTGTTTACAAAATCTAATAACTTTTAATTACCCTAAATAGGTAGGTAAGTACTAACCTCATTCCATTTGATTTAAAATAGATAAGTAACAATAAAATTATATCACCACCTAGGTAGGTATTAGGTATAATTATTTTAACAAAAAGCAAACCTACTCTTCAAGATTCACAAAAATAACTGTACAAATAATGTTTTAACATTCCACTAAGGTAAGGTAGGTGTATGTATTTAAGCACTGTCCCGAATTCACCTATTTTCTTGGAAGTAATTTCACAGCATTTATTATAATTCCTATTTAGGGTATATTTCGCCTGGTTTTCTAAACACATCACAATATATAACACAGCACCCATTTCGAAGTATATTAGCTATTATTTGACATTTTAAAAATCAAACAGCGACATTACATTTTTGATGATTATATTAACAAAATCTTAGTAATCAGTCGCTTTAGTTTCCATAGAAATAAAACAAAATAGTAAGCTAGTGAAATAAACAGATATCGACAAAGTTATCAAAACGACTTTTAAACTTCAAACATTTCCGATTCACAATAAATTTAGGTAGGATTGAATTATAATTCTAAAAATAGAATTTAAGATTCGCAACCGGAGAAATAAACAGTAAGTAACGATTACACTTGGAATTTAACCTATTTTTTTTGTAACAGATGGATATTATATACCTGGGTGTTGGCTTTTGCACGAGACTCCGACTATTTTATTGATTGAAAAGCGCTGCTTGTTAGGTAGATATAACTGTAATAAAATGACTAGGGTAGGTGTATATATACAAAGGCTACTCTATCTACAATGTCGCTGAAACATTCTTTTAATCAGAGTTTAAAATGTCGATGACCTTAAGGTATACGTCACGTATCCCATTCTCTTGCATTTATTTAGTACGGAGATTTTGTTCAACTTTTACACCTTTCGAATAGCCCGTTTTATAGCAAAATACACAAAGCACCACGTATTTGTATACTAAATTTATACTAACGATAGATAACGATGACGTCAACCTTGGCCATTTTATCATGCCTAATTCTAAATACTTAACCGAGCGCACAACTTTCGAGATTCGAGTCTACTCTTCACTAAATGAGTACGAGAGTGAACGAAAAACCAAAACCAGATATCGGCTCTATGGAATTTGTGTGCAGGAAGAGGGAAGTGGCGTGACGTTCGGCATAAACCGGCATATGTCGGTACATGACTCTTTCAATGCGCACAGGGCACACGGTTGCTTCTCTATGCTATGTAGAATTTATCGAGTTTAGTGCCAATGTAAGTGTAACATTATTGAAAAAAAGTGAGAAATATAAAAATTATGAAACTTAAAATGATGATATTAGTAAATTATAGACTTGTGGGTGTTTGATTTGTATATTGTGAACGTTAATAGGATAATAAGGTAAGAAAGATACCATGCTTAGACTTCTGTTAACAATGAAAAGGCGCGTTAGGTTTAGGTACGGCGTTGTCTAGATTCTATCGGGTCGCTGTTCGCTGTTCGGCAGTGGTTGAATGGCATCCTAACATGGCTACTTTTCGCCCGAGTTTACCGATTATATTTGTCAATTTAATTTTACTTAATTTAGGTACTATCTAAAATGTCTCGAAACGTTTCGTATAAAAATTAATATGGCTGCATCTTTTTGGCCTTAGTTATTAGATTATCTGAACTACTTATGTATGTAATAAAAATATCCGTAATTAAACTTCCCCTTTAGAAAAAAGTAGTTATTATTTAGCATAAAGATTCTAGTTTTTTCGAACAGTCTGAATTTAGGACTTTTAGCATTTTAGAGGACCTTAGAGTTTTAATAATACTAGTAGGTGGAACAGTGCTGCCATCTGGTGTATGGAAGAGAAACTCATTTTAATTTAGAACACTTATGATTTGGAAGATGCCTCGTATTATGCCAAGACGTAAAAAAATAGTTTAATATAGTTAGTCGGCATTTAGTTTCATTTCGTCATTGTTAACAATAATATCGAGTTTAAATGTATACAAGTGATAGTGCTAAAGTATCAGTGGTTTGTTTTTTTAGATACGTATACTTACTACAAAATGGCGGACGAAGAATATAATAAGAAAGTAGAAAGCCTTCAACAATACATCCCGTTTTTGGATAATATGATTGCTCAACTTAAGGATCCTAGTAAAAAGAACCGGGAACAACAACTCAGTAAAATGGAATCTCTACATTCAATGATCACGGATAGGAAGAAAAAGTAAGTCAGACTAGTAGATAATTATTGTTAAGTAGTTATATTTTTGTGAAAAGTACTTTAAGAATGTATTTACTGAATAAGCATTTATTGTGAAAAATCAGTATACCTATTTTTGATAGACATTGATCTTTGACGTTTACGGCTTAGATATGAAGTGAACCTTCCAGATTTTTCATGTTTGATGTACCATTCTCATCAATGCTTTTATTTAAAATGCATTATAAAGCTACTTATTTAGTGACGGTAGAAACTCGATTATCCGTGATTATCCGCGATTATTTGTGATTATAAACATCGTCAAAAAAGTTTTTGTCTAATCAATTACAAAATACTTAAAAAAACTTACCAACCAACCTGATATATTTGTTGATTAATCTATTGTTCGAAAGTTTACTTATATTAACCATGTGTTTATATATTGTTTTTCTTTATAAATTTGATTATCCGTATTACTTTGACACTATTTAGTCCGGATAATCGAATCTCTACTAAAGGTGCTAGTATTAAAATTGGACGAGTTTAAAATAGTTTAGTATATTTTTTAAAATAAATTTTTTTCGTAGAATATTGCTTTAGTCGACTTAACAATATTTGCAATATAAATGGGCGATTTGCAGCTAACATGAATTATTTTTACACCAGGCAAACTTTCTATGATGATACTTTATCCTTCTTTGTTTAAAAATACTAAGCAATAATTAGTTAAGGTTTTGATCCCGGATATGGAATTGATTTTATTTTTTTATATACGAGGGGTATTGTTGGATTCCCGACTTATTTACAGTTGTTTAGCTGATTTGAGATTTTTCACATTCTGGAGGTTTACCTTATTTTAACACAAAATTGCATGTTTTTTCTTATACATTTTTTCTACATATTTCTTATATAGGCGATAGAAAAATTCATCAAATGGAGAAAACAAACATTGAGATCGACTCAAGTCAATTTTGAAAGAAAATGGTTTCTGTCGAATAGAGAGAAACGAGTTTTGCAAAAAGATGACGTACTGAAGGTCCATCTGTTACTGTAAAAAGATCAAAGCCATTTAGAAAATACAAAATTTGGTGTTTTGAAGATTAGCGAATACGTATTAGGACGCATAAATTTTAAAGTCCTAAAAGGCCAAGTCCGGGGAGTAAACAATAATTCAAAGCTTAGTTCATTAATTTTAGCAAACGCAATAATTGACTTGACACGGTGCATTGATGGCACAACACTTTTTTTTTCGATAATACAGGCTTTTTTCCAGAATTTTCTCCTACAGCTGATAAAGCAAGTTAGCATAATTGCTCATTTATTGATTTACCCTTTTCAAGTTAATCAGTAAAAATGGCACCTTTTGCATTCCAAAATACGTACGTCACAACCTTTCCTGCCGATGCAACCGTTTTTTTCTTCCTTAGGACTGCTTTGCCTTAAGCTGTCAATTGTCATAACTGCTGTTTGATATTTGGTTGTAATGTTGAACATAGTTATAAATCTGCACAAAAAATCTTTTGGATTGTGCTTAAATATCAACAAACACTTTTCTGGAACGATTATACGAATGCATTTTTCCGGTGTGAGCAATCGTGACACCATTCTTTTAAAGAGCTTCCTCATGTCTAAAATGTCGCATGATATGTGATGTTTGCTCCAACTTCAATCGACAAGCACTCAAAACAATTTTATGAAATTTTAGGACCATATCTTCCGTCGTAGCCGATGTTGGCTTATCTAGGCTCTCTGCAACTTTAGTGCTTGTATGGGCAAGATTAAAATCTGCAATCCATGTTTTGAACTTTGAAAATGATGGTGGAGACTCGCTGAAACTTGAATTGAGCTCAGCTTTAATTTACGTGGGACTTAAACCTGTTTAATATGAAAATATTGTTCTAGTTTTTTATTATTTAGAGAACTTAGAACTTGATAAGTGTAGCAGGCTGTCAGATACAAACCACTGGACGCAAACACAGAAAACTAATGACATATGACATTAAATAAAACAATAAATAAATTATCAAAATCATAGCCCACTATAGATCAGCTTGGAAATTATTCTCGTTTTAGCTATTAGTTTACGGATGTAAACGAAATTGAAGCGCCGGATTGACACCGAGAATAAAGTTCGTCAAAAAAGATGTCTACTTTCTAATTGAAATTGTTTTAATGGAATAAAAAGAACTTAACAATTATTTTAATACACTAGTTAAAATTATTGTTACTGGCAGCAAGTAAATGTTATGAACAAGGAATAATACTAACAGATTAGCTCGGCGAAGGAGTTGCGGTTACCGCCATCTCTTATGCTGTTAATTTGCGAGTTTCTATAATTTCTACAAAGAAAATACGTCCCAGAAAATTAAGTAGTTTATTGTTGTTTCTTTGAGACAACACATTCAGCCACAGCTCTTTTATGGCAAATGGGGTGTGGTTGCAAAAGGGATTTACAATTGATCGGACAGTAATATGGGAAGCACATGTGCGTGTCGTACAAAATGTACGGTACAATTTTATTGTACTTTAATGTACACTTTGCCTTTGTTGGAAGGACATGATCGGTAACACACTCAACTAACGGGATCTATTGTTGATTCGTACGTGTGAATTTAATATAAAAATACGTACGTTTATAGTTTTTATAGTATTGACATGGGCAGCGCTGACGTGAGGTCGTTCGGTCGTACTGTACGACATAATTTGGTGTACTGTATGTAGTGTACTGCAATTGCTACAATGAGACCTATCTATTGTGTCTCTTTCTGTCGCTAATGCAGCTAATGCCCATAACGATCCTTCCAATCCTTTCTTCTCAAGGAAGTGTAGGATTTGGAGTGGCTTCAAGTTAGGTATATCGCTCCTCTTCTATTTGGTATGTCTAATTATCTGAATCTGACCTACTGCGATTCCAAAAATGATATGTTGAAAGCTTATTAAAATGTTGGAACGAGAACATTCCTCAGATAAGTGTAATACAGTTAAGGGGATCAAGGTTGAACATATGGATCAATTTATTAGAAGTTACTTCTGAATCAAATTATTTTATTCTTTTCACAATTAACGAATTACAAATATTATTATTTGGAAATAAATGAAGTTACCAAACCGTAACGCATATTATATAATAAAACTTCGTAAATTGAAAAATAGAAAAATAGTATTTAATAGATTGGTTTACAATAAAACTTTGCTGTTTCGTGCTAATGACTCCAATGGAGCCGAGCAGTGTTTCATCTTGTATGCGAGCCGCACCGATATGCACCGTTGATAAATTGATATATATTTTGAAACGCAGTTAACGTGTTAGCGCCTTTTACACTTTTTTTATTTAAAAACGCACTGTTTGCTTTCGCTTATTCCTATCAGTGACAGTTCAGCACACTAAGTACAAAACGTCATAAAAACCCATTCATGTCTTGCTGCAAACCCTGGAATAGATCTGATTAATGATTACTTCAGAATACTCAGAATGCAGTTGAATGTATGAAACTCACCTATACATGCAGCCAAAACCTTTATGCTACTGTAGAAACTCAAATAAATTGGACAGTATAGATTGAGTTGAAAAATAAGAATATTGTATTGTGAATTTAAATACACAATATTTAAGAGTTTGTGTATATTGGGCCATCTGTAATATGTAGGTAAGGTGGGAAATGTGGGTTGCCCTACATCACTTAGGCCTCACTAGACCCATTCTGCATCGGCGTCTCATCTCGCCGAAGAGCCTGTTGGTCGATAAGTGGTCGAGAGGAGTCTTTCAGCTCGTCAAAGTCCTGAAGGTTAATGTCGCCGAAAGGTGACTCTAGATTCTCAGAATTAATTTGGTCGAGATGTTAATTTTTATAAGTTCTGGAATGTTGTGAAGAAGTTTTGCGGAACACAATTTAGTTAGATGTTGTTTCTCTCCAGAACACATCTTACTTTGCTTTCTACACTACAAAAACAAGCATAGAATTTAGAATAGTACGACGACTTTTTTCTTTTTCAACTTCGGATAGGTCATAAATAAAAGACAAGTGTGTATAATAAATGATTTTATTACTTAAAGTTATAGTTACGGCTACTTTTCGACATAATTATCGCAATCTGTGGACAAGCTTTCTAATGAATTTAAATGAGTCTTAACGACTTAAAACTACTCGTTAGATTGGAAGTGCTACCCTCCTAGTAATGTTTTCAGTTCAGGGAAAAGATGGAAGTCACTCGGCACTAGGCCGGGGATGTATAGCGGGTTTTCGAAAATGTCCCATTTAAATTGCTCAAGGAGTCGTTGGGTTCCACCAGCACTGTGAGAACGGACGTTGTGGATTCAAATAATTCCAGATACCTCTTCTTTGGTTTTGAATGGCTCTCAGCAAATGTTGCAACAATAGTTACTCGTAGGAAGCGAATAAAGCTTCACACTTGGCAGAAGAATCAATAAAGTTAATAAAGTCATGTTGATGTGACTGAAGCTCGACACATACTAGGGATGTTGCGATACTACTGATATGATACTGGTATCGATACGGGTAATTTAGTACCAGATACTTTTCTTTCGATACTTTATCCATATCGATACTACTTTTGTTTCGATACTACTACTTTCGTTTCAATATTTTACTAGTTTTGACATTACAATACAAACAAAAAGTATATCGTAGGATCACTTTATGGTATGTTGGCGTACCCTATGATCTTTTTTTTTATTCTTCACTTTCCGATATCGGTATCGATACTTTGGGTCCGATACCCTTTCGATATCGGTATCGATACAGGGATTGATACGTTACTGACATCTAGAAATCGATAGTGACCGCGGGAGATGCGCAATCGCTTACTACGCATATCGCCCGCCTGCCGCTTGTCTGGCGTTTATGCTGTGCAATCGGAGGTTGAAAAAAAAACTTATTTTTACCTAAATAATGAATTCTTAAAAATATAATCTTCATCATTTGCCTGAGGCTCGATGTATTTGGTCTGATTTAAATAAGAAATGTTGTGTGTACACAGACACCGTTGAAAAACGTTAATTAAAT